GCCCAAGCAGCTATTTTAATTGGGAAACAAGGAAAATCTTTATGGAAGAGGAAATATTTGAGGTCACTTTGAAAGATAACCACAATCTTGAACTTAGAAAAAGTTGGGAGGAGAAAAGCATTTTAAGTGTACGGAATATCCAGAAAAAAACATAGAAGGCATGAAGTTTAAGGTAATTCCAGGTGGTAAGGTAAGTGTATCTGGGTCATTATGATATTTTTTGCTTATACAATTGATGTCCAAAGGGTTATTTATTTTTATAGAGTAAATGTTGAAGGTCATGCTTTGCTAAATATAGAATGCTTTGCCTATTCCACCAAGTCTGATTATTTCTTTCTTTTGGTAGATTACAGTTTTTCTTTGTAAAAATCAAAGGATTTGTTGTGGTCTTTATAAACACTGAAGTTAACATGAACATCAATAATTGTATAGTATAATTATATTATAAGTTGAAATATCCAAAATATATACATCACACACATGGGTAGATTTAAAGGTGTGATACAAAATACAGGAATAGGTTGCAGTTCAAGATGGCAACATAAGAAGACCCTGAACTCACTGATACGCAATAGGCTTGATAAAGAATTTAAAGTAATGATCTCAAAAATACTCATTGGGCCAGAGAAAAGAATGGGAGAACTCAAGTGAGACCTTCAATGAAGAGATAGAAAATATTAAAAAGAACCAATCAGAATTGACGAATACAATAACTGAAACAAAAAATACACTAGAGGGAATCAACAGTAGATTAGAAGATGCAGAAGAATGTATCAGCAATCTGGAAGACAGGGGAATAGCACACAAGCTGAACAGCAAAAAGAGAAAAGAATTTTTAGAAATGAGGATTAAGGGATCTCTTAGACAATGTCAAGCCAACAAACATTCCTATCGTAGGGGGTCCCTGAAGAAGAACTGAGAGAGAGGTGTAGGAAACTTATGTCAAGAAATAATAACTGAGGGGAAAAGATGGCAGAAGAGTAGGGGAACCTATTCCAACCGGTCCCCAGAATTGAGCTGGATATCTACCAGACCACTCTGAACACCCACAAAATCAGCCTAAGATGTAAGAAGATAGATCTGGATCTCTACAAACAGAATATCGCAGGTGGTTGGTTTTGAGGTATGAAGCAGGGATCCGTAATTCTGAGGGCAGATATCAGAGGATAAACAGCAGGGGGAGGGAACTGTGGTGATCCTGCACCACCAGTGAGTGATAGCCTCCCGTGCTGGGGACGGGGCATGGACTCACAGACTGGTAGCGACAGGGAAAGGACTTTAGGGTAGCCCCTGGACTGAAACCCGGAGTGGTGGGGCTGTGCTTGTGAACTGGGGATGGCTGGCGGTTTTAGAAGCACAAAGGGCAGAGACGTGCCCCTGTGCCTGGACCTGGAGGTGAGGACTGGGAGCCCTGCTGAAGGGCCCATGACCCAGGATGCTGTGGTTTATAGACAGAAATGGAGATAGTGTGGCCCGGAAAGCTCACTGAAGAACAGACTGTGACCTCTCTGCTCTGAGGCAGAGGGTTGGAAATGATCTCTTCTGCTCTGACTCTCCGAAGAGATGCGGAAATCCGCCAGGGAAAGCCACCAGAGAACAAAAGCCCCCAAAATCGGTTTTCACTGAGCCCATCCCCCCCGACAGGAGGCAGGGCAACTCTGCCCAAACAGGGTTGCCTGAGTAACAGTGCGGCAGGCCCCTCCCCCAGAAAGGCTGGGAGAACAAGAGGCCAGGAACCCTAAGGTCTCTATAAAACAGGTGCATCTTGCTTGCATTGTGGTCAATAATTTGGATTCTGTACATTCCCGCAACCACCCGTCAACAGAGTGACTAGGAGGAGGAACCCCCAAAAGAGGAAAGACTCAGAGACTGTGACTTCTGCCACAGATTTACAAATGGATACAGATATAACCAAGAAGTCAGAGATGAAATTCAGGGTAGCAATTGTGAAGACAATAGCTAGAATGGAGAACTCAATTAACGACAACATGAAGTCTTTAAGGGCAGAAATGAATGTTGAATTGGCAGAATTTAAAAATGCTATCAATGAGATCCACTCTAGTCTAGATAATCTAACAGCTGGGCTAAGCGAGGCAGAAGAATGAATTAGTGATCTAGAAGACAAATT